TATGTTTGATCTATTTACAGTATTATAAATAACTTAAGGACACTAGATTTTTTTTTCTTCATCTAGGAATAAATGCTTTGGGAAATATGAAAAATGAGAATTTTCAGTGTCTAATAGAAAAAATTTAATTTATAAAACTCTATTTCAATATTTATGAAACTCATACAAACTTATGTAGCTATATGTCCAAAATTATGGAAAATACGCTGCCATAGTTTTGAAGATATATTCAAATTTTGCCTAGATAAAGGGACATTTCTTAAGGTAAGCTTTTGATTTGATAGTTGAGAGTTTGTTTGGCCAGCCATTTTTAATAAATTTAAGATATATACTATGTGTGATCACCATTGTTTTAACTTTTTGAACACTAAGAAAGAATACAAAGTGCATTATAATACAAGTACCTAAGAACCTGTTTTGCCTCTTTAGATGCTGGTAGACCACTTGTTTTGCTAGTCTTTAGAATTGGAAGGAGTGTCAAATACACAGAAGCCAGAGTCATCTTGGCCAGATGGTATTTGATACAGATGGATGGTTAGTTGTCATGCAGATCTCTTAGTTGGTAACTTGTTGCTGCCATCTGACTCAAAGAATCATTCACACACACTGGCTGTCAAAAGCATCTTCTCTTCTGTCTGTTTTAGCTGTCATGTCTGTGCTCTGTACAGAAGTGTTGACAAGACATTGCTGTTGTACATTTTCAATGCGGTTGTTAGTGATTTTTCTGTTTTATGGGGTCTTTGGTAGTGCTGGAATGCACTTGCTTTGTAATTGGTTTTCTTTTTAAATACTGTGACAGTGCAATAATTATCTAACCTTTTAAAAGGACTTTTCAGGTTATAATTTCATTCAGATCTGTTCATTAAACAAAAGCATTTAATTTAAAAAAACACCCTTTTTTTTTTCCCCCCTGTTTCCAAGCATTGCAAATAAACTGGATTCTATTATTATTTTGCAACTTGACATAATATTCTCTGGAGTTTCCCTCTCACAGCCTTGTGGCCAGTTTGTGTGTGTGTCTGTGTTTTACTATTTCCTGAATATTGTGTATTTTCTCTTCTCAAATTAGTAGGGTTTTTTCCTGATGGTTTAAGCTTCCCCTTTTTTAAAAAAGAAAAATCTTCAGACATTGCCTATCATTTGCATCCATTTTCTCAAACTTAACTTCCTTTTGTCTTATTCACCTGCTGACCTTGTCTCCATTGTTCCTGTTTCCCTTACAGAAATATAAGCAATGCTTGTTGTCCTTTCTTTGAGGTCACTTGTGAAAGCATATCTATTTCTCTGATACTTCTTTAACTGCTTAAGTTGTTTATTTGTTCAAGTAATGTTTACTGAGCATCTCTGTATGTGCCAGACACTCTGCTATACTGTGGAGATATCAGGACTAAATAGTCTTTGCCCTTGAGGAGTCATAGTTTAAAGGGAAATTGGGTATATGGACAATTAGACTAGAATACTATAATTTCTATAATGTAAGTATGTGGAAAGAGCAGTGAGCCATTGCTATTCTGTATCCCTGCTATACTAGAAAGTTTTAGTTTTTAAATTATTACACGATTTGCTTGCATTTATAAAGTACTTTATTAAGTAGCTTAAGAAATAATTCAAAACTTCATTTTGAAGTAGTTGTTGATCTGTTAATTTACCTAAGCTAATGAATCCATTTTCAACATTATTTATTTATTATAATAAGTTATGTTCAGATGTACTAAAGTAGGTTTTTAAGCCAGAGTCTAGAAGATGAAAATTACCTGGCAGAGGCTTTCTGAGTTGGTTCCAAAGAAAAATACAGGTCAATTGGTTTTTCATTAAGATGAAGAATATAATAGAGAATGGGTTGGGCCTGTCTCTAATTTGCTAAGTTTTTGTACTGGTTATTTAATATCTGGATAGAATGTACATACCTATCAAAATAAAATAAAAGAATGGGTAAATATTGGTCAATGTTTATGATGAGCTTTGAGTTCTTTGGAGAAAGTTCTAAATACACAGAAATAAATAAAGAAAACTAACATCAACTTGTTCTCCAATTCCTCAGCCTTGGTGGCTGTGTGTAGCCCAGGTAAATTTAAGTTATTACAGAATTAGCATATTAGGCATTTATTATATATAAATGCCTAATATGCTAACTGTCCAACCAGTCACTAGTTGACCAGTCTCTATGATTCGCACTGATCACTGGGGGCAGACACTCCGACTGGTAGGTTAGCTTGCTGCTGGGGTCCTGCTGATCAGGACTGGGCGAGATGGGCTGGACATGCCCTGGAGCCCACCTGCGGTTTCCCCCTGGCCAGCCAACCTCCTGCAGTTCCTCCCCAGCTGGCCCTGATCAGGACTGAGCAAGATGGGCCTGACACACCCTGGAGCCCTCCTACAGTCCCAGTGGTGCACCTGTGTGGTCCCTCGGTCTGGTCTGCAATCCAGAACCCCTTAGGGGATATTGGAGAGCCGGTTTCTGCTCAATCCCCGCAGGTCAGGCTGCCAGGCCAAGGGACCCCACCGGTGCATGAATCAGTGCACTGGACCTCTAGTGTAGGAATAAGATACCTTGTCCTAGGAAGCCTGGCCTTAGACTGAATTTTGGTATCTGTGGTTCAGTACAGATCCTCATAGGATATATGGTCCACGTGGACTCACAAGACTGGTTCTTCTATTTATAATGAAATTTACTTGGATTTTTTAAACTTGGATTATTTCCTTAATTTTTTTTTCAATAAGTATGTACTGAATTCGTCCTATGTATACGTTACCTTGCAGAGCTCTATGGAAGTATCAGTTTATATAAGACTACTCTCAGGCAGCATGCACATCACTTGGTTTATTTGTCAGCTCTGTCAGTTATGTTTAAAGTGAATTATAGAATTTTCCCTTGGAAAATTTTGGTTTTATTTTTGCTTTAATTTCTTAAGCTAACTTATTTTGGGAATTTAGGAATAACTGTATAATTTATAAGGAACTTTAGGCTTATTAGTGTCTGAAAACAATAGAGCTTTACTGATTTTGAACTTTGGTTAAGAATCAGCTCAAAATCAAATATTTAAGGGACAAATGTTGAAGGGACATTATGAGATTATTAGGACCCCATCTCACATTTCAAGGAATTTATAATTTAGTCATTTATTGGTTCCTCTGGTGATAGAAATTGGTAAAAAAAAAAAAAAAAAAAAAAAAAAAAAAAAAAATTCTCTATTACTCCCCTCCTTATCCTTCCCTTCTGCACCTCTCCTCTTTCCTCCCATCCCCACTTCATGTTGTTCTTTCCCCTCCCCCTAAAAAAAAAAAAAACTTTAAAAAAAATTTTCTCTATTACTTTTATGTGATATATTTTTAAGACTTTGTACTAATTTGGCAATGGATATGCAACATCTTTAAATTTGCTTGAAGGTTTACAGTATCTGAATCTGCAGATTGTTTCTTCTTTCATTGCTTAATTCTCAGAGCATTATAATATGACTAGAGGCCCAGTGCATAAAATTTGTGCATGGGGGGTGGGGTATTGTCCCTCAGCCCAAACTGCACCCTCTCCAATCTTGGACATCCCTCTCACAATCTAGGACTGCTGGCTCCCAACTGCTCTGCTGCCTGTCTTCCTGATTGCTCCTAACCACTTCTGCCTGCCAGCCTAATTGATGTCTAACTGCTCCCCTGCCAGCCTGTTTGCCCCCAACTTCTCTCCTCTGCTGGCCTCGTCACCCCTAACTGCCCTCCCCTGTAGAGTTGACCACCCCCAACTGCCCTCCCTTACAGGCCTGGTGCCTCCCAACTGCCCTCCCTTGCTTGCCTGATCACCCACAACTGCCCTCCCTTGCCAGCCTGGTCCCTCCCAACTTCCCTCCCCTGCTGGCCATCTTGTGGTGGCCATCTTATGTCCACATGAGGGCAGGATCTTTGACCACATGGGCGCAGCTATCTTGATCTTGTGTGTTGGAGTGATGGTCAATCTGCATATTACTCTTTTATTATCCTTACTTAGATAGGATAGAGGCCTGGTGCACCGGTGAGAGGCTGGCTGGTTTGCCCTGAAGGGTGTCCCGAATAAGGGTGAGGGTTCCCTTGGGGCGTGGGGTGGCCTGGGTGTGGGGCTGTGGTGGTTTGCAGGCTGGCCACACCCCCTGGGGACCCAAGCAGAGGCCCTGGTATCTGGAATTTATTTACCTTCTACAGTTGAAACTTTGTAACCTTGAGTGGAGGCTTAGGCTGGCTAGGGCAGGCAGAAAGCTTGGCTTCTTTCATTGCCTGGGAAACCCAAGCCTCCCTCCTGTTCTCTGCGGCCATGGCCATCTTGGTTGGGGTTAATTTGCATACTCGCTCTGATTGGCTGGCGGGCGTGTCTTGTGGTATATTGTAGGAATGGTTAATTTGCATATTACTGTTTTATTAGATAAGATAGCAAAGAGATGGATTAAAAATACAAGGGAAATTGAGGTATTTAAGATATCCACTAAAAATTAGCTGTGTTCTTGAGTTCTTAAAACTTTTAAAAAGGAAGTTTGTGATCAATGGGATTTTGTAATTTTTATGTGTCCCTTCAGTTTTCAAAATGTTTTAGTTATACTCACTTTCTTTTTATTTTGTCCCTAAGAATAAGTTCAAAAGTGTGATTACTAAAAAGACATAAAATCTTACCTTTTTTAAGTTAGTGGGTATTTTGTAGAAAACTTTAATATAACATCATTTTATTTATGCCTTTCTTTGTTATCATTAGGATAAAATTGTAAATTATAATTTTATCCTAACTGAAAGGCTAGAAACCATCTGTTGAACTCTTAATTGAAATTTCCTTTTAAGATTATTTTAAATTGTAAAGTGTTTCAAATCACAGATGTTTGTAATGATTACAAGTACATTGCTGGAGCCAATTTTTAGCTCATAAATAAATTCACAATACCTGGGAAATAGCAATATAGGCAACTCTTATCTATATATAATTATTAATAGACAGTAAATATATGTATATATCTGTCAGTAAATATCAAGCTAACTGGTTTTTATGTCAGCAGACTGAAAACTATGAGCAGAGAATACGTGAGCAACAGGAACAGCTGTCCCGTCAGCAAACTATTATTGACAAGCTAAAATCACAGTTACTTCTTGTGAATTCCAGTGAAGGTATGCTCATGCTAATTTTTTTTGTGTTTCTTGAACCACTTTTAGAAAAAGGTGGAAGTCGCGTTTTTCTATTTTGTTTCTCTGATTTACATATGTTTATTTAAGAAGTGAACACTTTCAATCAATGGGAAAATGGGTATTCTTGTGTCCTATATGGTGGAACTCTTAAGTTGATAAAACTTCCAAGAGGACAATTTGCCAATTAGTAGCAAAAGCTTTTTAAGGTCTAAGAATATATTATAAGATAATACTTGTTCAAGTTCTTAAAAATCTGTATATAAGGATGCTCATGATAGCATTTCTAATAATGAAAAACTAGAAATAAAGAAATGTCCAACAGTTAAATTACAATCATCCATATAAGGAACAGCTATGTAGTCAAGAAAAGTGATGATAATAGATCAACTTATTAACATGACATGTACTTAAGATATATAGCAAAATGAGCTAAACAAGATAAAAAAATAAATATTTTATTTATGCCACAAAAAAATTCTCACATGAATTTATATACATATATATGAAAATCTTCTAAAATATAAACCAGGAATAATTCTCAGATAATAAAAATTATCAGCAGCTGCTGAAACCAGTTTGGCTCAGTGGATAGAGCGTCAGCCTGCAGACTGAAAGGTCCCAGGTTTCATTACGGTCAAGGGCATGTATCTTGGTTGCGGGCACATCCCCAGTAGGGGCTGTGCAAGAGGCAGCTGATTGATGATTCTCTCTCATCAATGTTTCTAACTCTTTATCCCTCTCTCTTCCTATCTGTAAAAACTCAATAAAATATATTTAAAATATATATTTAAAAAAATTATCGGCAGCTTTTATTTTTTTTTTTTTGGCATGTCCGTATTTTGTAATTTTCCTATAATAAGCATGGAATAATTATACAAATGAGTATCTTAAACAAGAAATGCATACCTGAAAATACAACTTATATAAATTCTACATATTTTTCACACTATTGATTAAGTAGAATAAGGATTTTGTATGTTTAGTGGAAATGAGGAAGAAAAAAATATATAGATAGATAGATAGATAGATAGATAGAAAGAAAATATGCCAAAATCAAAATCAGCAAATCTGAATTGTCAAAGTCTTTACTCTTTAAAATTAGCGGTTTGGATTTGTATTCTGTTTACATTTTCGGGTACTATCAAAAACAAGAGTTTCCTACTTATGTCCAAGAGGGTTTTGTTTTACAGATAACAGTTATTGCTGTATGCCCCTGCTTGAAGACAGTGAAGCAAGGAAGAATAATTTGACCCTTAAACAGCCACTTGATAAAGTAAAATCAGGAATACCAAAAGAAAAAGAATCAAAGGTAATTGCACTGCTGGCTTATTCCTTAAAGAAATGAGAAATCCGGTTGCACGGTTTTTCTAAATTAGTCAGTATTCTATCATAACTTGGGTAGTCAGGAACAGGGGAGAATATTGGCAAGATTCTTTTCAACCATAACATTGCTTCTGCAAAAAACAGCATTCAAATGCTGATACATACATATCTTGCATTTTATTTTCCTAAGGTAGATTCATCACTAAATTCTAAACAGAACCTCTATATATACAAATAAATGACTTACATGATCCTCAATAGAAGTACCATTTCCAAGTAAAAAAAGGCTTAGGTTTCATATTTTCTGGTATTCTCTTTTCAGGCATTTAACAAAGAAATAAAAAATTATGCAAAGGTAGATAGTAAGACACTATGATTCCGAATTAATGAATAGCATTCTGGGTTTGTTTTTTATCAATTGCCTGTGCTTCAGTTAAAAATAAGGGGAGGGGGGGGAGGAGCCACATCATCAGCTTAAACAAACATCTTCATTGAAGCAGGATAGGAAAGACTATTTCATATCTGCAAGGAGACAGGTACAAGTATGTGCATGCTGTGTTGGTTAGAAACAATTTAATCATCCATCAATAGCAGAATGGTATATCTTTACAATAAAACACTTTAGAAAATGTATAATAAACTTAATTTATATATTAATATGCCTAGATTTCAAAAGAAATGTTGAATAAAAATGGAAACTACAAAATGACAAAGCATGAATAATTTATGTAAATTTTTTAACATATAAAACGTTATGATAATTATTTCTAAAAACACAAATAGGTAGTAAAAGTATAAGAAGGGTGCACATCTTTTTTTAAAAAAATGACCACTTCTATAGTCCATGAGAAAAGAGAGTGTGACTTTGGGAAGACAATAAGGAAGCTTCAGTTGTATGTATAACTTTTCTTTAAAAAAAAAAAAAAGATATCACCCAGCTGGCGTGGCTCAGTGGTTGAACATCGACCTATGAACCAGGAGGTCACAAGATAGCCGATCAATGATTCTCTCTCATCATTGATGTTTCTATCTCTCTCTCCCTCTCCCTTTCTGTCTGAAATCAATAAAAAATATATTAACAAAAAAAAAAGAAAAGATCTGAAACAAACATGACAAAATGTTAACACTTGTTAAGTCAAGGTAGTGGATATATAGTTATATATTATTATCCATGTATTTCCTGAATCATTGAAATTTTATGTTTAAAAAATGAATTTTTTAAATGAAGTGAGTTGGGTTTTGGTGGGATGAGACAGCTTTTGAATAAAATGGGATCTTCTAACATATGAGGACATGTAATATTCACAATATCAATTAAGTAAAGAGCACTATCTTTCTTTCCTTTTAATTATGTAGATTTTAGCTTTGTGTGTCAGGGTTATTCTTTTACTTATCCCATAACTGAAACTATCTTGTTTTTATTTAACACCAAATCTGAGAAATCTGATTTTAATAATTTTCTATAAATAAAAATTTTAGAATGAGAAATTCCCTATAGTATCTCCCAGTTCATATTTTTTTTTTAAGTTCAGAATCATTTTTTTATTTGAATCACTTTACCTTCACTTCAGTTTCCATTTATCTAAAGATGCTGAAAAACATGAGAAACAATGGCACTAGCATTTGTTTAGGTTTCTTTTGTAAGAGACAAAATTTAGAAACAATGATTCTGACTTTTAAGATACAATTTTATGATTTGGTTTATTATAGTACATTATAAGTCAATGAATTATAAATGCTGACATAAATTTAGTGCTTAAGTTAATAATATTTACAATCCTTTTCCTATTTCAAAGACTTCTAAATTTCATTACTTACCATTATTTTTTAATCAAAATTATTATTTTTATTTCGGTTATTACATTTCTTTGAAGATGGTAAAATATCTCTAGTTCAAACTATGTAAAAGATATTATTTATTTATTTATTTATTTTTTAAATATATTTTATTGATTTTTTACAGAGAGGAAGAGAGAGGGATAGAGAGTTAGAAACATCGATGAGAGAGAAACATCGATCAGCTGCCTCTTGCACACCTCCTACTGGGGATGTGCCCTCAACCCAGGTACATGCCCTTGACCAGAATCGAACCCAGGACCCTTCAGTCCCCAAGCTGACACTCTATCCATTGAGCCAAACTGGCCTTGGCCTGTAAAAGATATTTTTAAGTAGTAGTCTTGGTTAAAACATAAGAGATGATGTGAAAGACTCTAAAATATGTTAATAATCTAGTTTATTTTAAATTGGTCATTATTTATGAAAGTTTTAGATTTAGTTTTCAGTCAATAGTGTTCAAAGGGAACCTTCTTCAGAATTTTTTAAATATATATATATTTAACACCAAATCTGAGAAATCTGATTTTAATAATTTTCTATAAATAAAAATTTTAGAATGAGAAATTCTCTATAGTATCTCCCAGTTCATATATATATATGTTTATGTTTATGTTTATGTTTATATTTATATTTATATATATACACACACACACACACACACACACACACACACACCCCTATGCTGGAATTAACCATAAGTAACAAATCATGTCAGAGGTAACTTATTTTCAAAGAATTACTGATAGTGCATCAGTTGTAACTATTTGTGGACAGACAATAAGAGGAAATAACATAAAGCTTCATGTAAGAAATAATCTAAATTTAGTGAGTTCTCTTAATTATCATTACTAAAAGGGGAAAGATTTATGTGACACCACATATTTAATACCTTTAATATCTCATCTATTTAATCTTATATTGTAACCATTTAGTAAAAATAAAAAGCAACTAATATTTTAGCTTTCTCATCTTTCTTTATATATCTAGAACCAAAATACTAATGCACACTAGATATATAAGGGATTAAAAGAGAAGAGGAAATACATAAAAGAATGAATAAGTTAGATTTATTAAATGTTGAGAGCTGGCTATATCATCACTGAGCTAGTAACAGAAGGAAGCTCCTACTAACCACCCACAGTCCTTTCCTCTGCCTGTTTGGTGGGTGGCTTGAGGATTTGTTTTCTTCAGATTATTTTGTTTAGGATTTGGTTAGAATATTTGAGAGGGGGGAAGACCCATGGACATTATGGCAAATGGCAATTATTGTCTCTTTGGAAAATGAAACTAGAGGAAAGAGGGATAAGTTGAAGGGGAAAGAGGCCCTTTAAAATAAAATTTTATTTGAAAGCACAAAATTTATAGTTTACTTTCTGTTCATATGAATCCTATACAAATAGCATGTAATAATTCTTTAACTCCTAAGAAGGTATAAAATCAAGACAACAGAGCCTGTATCATTGGGTGCTTGCAGTTTAAAAACTTTAGAGAAGTATTCAGTTTAATGGAAAACCTTTCAACTCTTGTATACCATGGCAGGTTGCACAGTCTTTCTTGATAAGATCTGATTTTGGAAAGGGGACATTGTATTATATATCATATCATATGTTAGAGTAAGTATCCCAGATTTAACCCAAAACTTAACAGCTTAAAACAACAAATACTTGTTATCTCAGTTTCTATGCGTCAGAAATTTGGAGACTTAGCCTGGTGGTCCTGATTCCAGATCTCATATGATCGAAGTCAGGATGTGGGCAAAGGCTTAGTTATCTGAAGGCTTGACTATGGTTGGAGGATCTACTTCCAGGCGGCTCACTCACGTGACTGTTATTAGGAGACCTGGAATGTGAATCTCTATTTACAACCTGGTAGCTAACTTCCTTTAAGTATTGTAAAAAAGTAAGATATCCAAGAGAAAGAGAACAAGGAAAAGACCACAGTGTTTTCTGTGGTCTGGTCTTTAAAATCACATAACCTTCCCTTCCACTTTATTCTGTTCATTAGAAATAAGTCACTAAGTGCTCCAGAGGCAAGGAAATAAGTTCTACCCCTTGAAAGGAAGATAGATATATTTTTAAAGCATCATTGGGATTGTAGATTGTGGTAGTATAGAAGAGAGTACCAAAGATCAAAGGTATGTTGGGGGACTAGTATTTTTTTTAATCCTCACCCAAGGATATGTTTTTATTGATTTTGAGAGAGAGAGAGAGAGAAACTAATGGGAGAGAGAAACATCAATTGGTTGCTTCCTGTATGTGCCCAGACCAGGGATCAAACGCATAACTTTTTGGTGTGTGGTACAATGCTCCAATGAACTGAGTCACCAGGCCACAGTGGAGTGGAGGGAGACTAGTACTTAATTTACCATATGATAAATATTAATGAAAGGAAAAGGAAGTTGGCAGAATTTAGTAATGAATTCAACTTCCTGAATCTATCATTATTAATCTCAAGAAAGAAATATCATGGTTTATCATCTTAACAATTTCAAAAATTCTAATATGAAATAACCTTACCAGAGGAGATTAGCTGAACAGTGCTTTAGAGAAGAAACTGTTAATGTTATTATTAATTATATTTATAACCAATTTTAAAAATTAAAAATATTTATATAGATAAAATCAAATAATACTAAAATACATATACTTATTCTGGCAAAAACTATTTTTTTCTGCCAAAAACTATTGTCTCTTATTTGTAGAACACCATTGTCAGAGATAGTAACATGCGTCATGATAGCAGTTATTTAAATAACATTTTGTATTTAATGTAAATACACATTGGCATTGTTTAATTTGCTTTTTTAAAATTAGAATTGTACCATACTGGGTCATTTGTATGATCTTAGAAATAAGTTATTTTTACACAGCCAGCATGGCTCAGTGGATTGAGCATCATCCCATGCACCAAAAGGTTGGTTGCTAGTTCAATTCCTGAACTAGCAACCAATATGCTTGATCCCCAGTAGGGGTTGTTCAGGAGGCATCCCATCAATGTTTCTATCTTCTCTCCCTCTCCTTTCCCCTCTCTCTCTAAAAAATCAATTGAAATATTTTTTAAAAAATAAAGTGTTTTTATAATATCTCTTCTGGGAATCACTTAATTTGTCAAACTAAATACTATACTTGATGCCCTAAGGCTTGACAAAAC